TTACCTGCTTATTATATGGATGAGGTATCTGAAGCCAAGTAGCGGGGGAAGCACTTAAAAAGTTCTACAGGGTTTTTAGATGAATATCCTAGAACTCTGACTTTCTGTCGTACCTGGAAAGTCTTCTTTCTCTTTACTTTTCTGCTCTACTCCTTTTCTCTTCTCCCATCCTCTCCCCATTGTTGCTTTCCCTTCCCTTAAAAAAAACAAATCCAAGTAATAAGTAATCCTGATTTACAAAGTCATATGATCTTACAAGGTTTATAGCCAAAACCGGCAGTTCTCAATTCTATCCTTGTCCCTTAAATTAACTGTCTAGGACCTATCTTTTCAACTTTTGTTTCTATTTACTTCTCTATTTCTCAGTCACACACCTGTGTTGTTCCACTTGGAAAGTCTCATGCAAGGAAACAGTTCTTCCCTCAAGATTCCAGTTGCCCTTCTGTTGAGAAACTATTGTAGAGTTAGTTACACTTGGGAAGATGAACTCATGGTAACTAAACTCATAAGTGTTGTATTATTCATTTATAGTGAAATAAGATCAGTTAGACTACATGTTTTCAGAGATCTGACCAGTGTATATTCACCCAGTGGGAAAGTTATCTAGAATGCCAAATATCTTTACTAAACCATGGAATTGGAACAAATTCTAATTATACAATTCACGTTTAATTTTATTGGGATCTGATCAAAGAATTGCTTCCATTTTCATACTAGGGATGTTCGTATCTGATCTTTAGATTAAAAGTGAAAATAATAGGAAAATATGGAAAACCAATGTTTTATAAGAATTTGAAGCATATTCCACTTCATATGGCAGACATTCTCTCTTTTGGGATGGTGGAATACAAAGCAGAGGGTGGCAAATATGACAAAATTTGCTGTATTGGAAAGAAAACTATAAAAGAATTAGATTCCATGTTTTTTTCTTTTTTCCTATATGTTTCTTTCCATTCTTTCTCTTACTCTAGTTTCCTCATCTAAAAATTAGATAATTGGGCTAAATAGTCATTATCGTTTTTGGAAGCTTTGACAATGTAAGAGATGTTTAGAGAATTAACCTCTTGCACTTCTATTTTTAGTTATGGGCCAAATGACTATTAGGCATTACTTTCATGTTCAATTTCTAAGACTGTTCTAGCAGAACATTATATGAATAAACATTTTGATATATATAATTGGCTGTGCTCTTTCCATTTTTAAGCATTCTCTCTTTTCTCCTCCACTATTTCTTTTATATAGTTTTGTTTCATATTTACATATGAAATTATAGTTTCCTAAATTTGCCATTTATCTACTTTCTTGAAGTTACTTCTTTAAAGAAGATTAAATTATAGAAGAAGGTGATACTTACTGAATTCTTGGTGTAAGTAGTTGTTCCCAAGTTTCCTTTGACCTTGCAGCTTTGGGACATTTTTCCCCTTCTTTCTATAGATTAGTTGCATTTTTACTGTATTTACATTTCCTGCTTGATAAGTAGAAACAAAGTATTAAACTTAACTACTTTGAAGATAATTTGTGTAGTTCATTTACACATGAACTATGTTATATATTATATATTAACAGTTTGGGTTGTGTATATTCCTTTTGTATAAAGATGTGGTCTTTGCTTTCTAGCGAAATGATCCATATACAGTTACAGATAATCAGTGTAAAGAAGTCCCAAGAAAGATATGGAGGATCCTGGGATACTTGGTTATCATTGTTGATACACAGAGCCTCTGTGAGTTTGTTCAGTGTGGTAGTTTAACTTCTCAGGGAAGTGTCTAAGGTCTAATAAGTATTACTTTGCTATGCAAAAAAAATTGACTTTTAGATCTTCATGATACTGTGTTTTATAAATGTATTCAGTTGAGTTTGTTAATTGGAAGATCCTAATGTAATTGTCAATTCATATTTATCCTTCCTTGTCCTTACTGTCTTTATTAGTTCATTGCTCTGTTTTGCTTCTCATCCTTTAAAATGCAAAGATTGCTTTCTTCTCCTCAAACGGAGTAGAATCCAGGAGTGGGTATGGTATGAGGTGGCCATGCTCTTTTGTAGTATGTGTAGTGTCTTAGTGATTGTTCAAATTTTGCTTGGCTTATCCTTATCATCGGGACTTATTAAACATAAAGATTCCTGGAATCTTTTCTAGATTAGGAAGCAACAGAATCAGATGAAATCTTTCCCAATGTCTGTTTCAACAAATGCCTCAGACAATTCTGTTGCACAGCCAGATAGATGAAAGTTTTATTAATCTTATTTATTTAATTTGGTTTATTTTATAAGTGCTCTCCTGGACTGCTTTATGCTTGGAAAATATGTATTAAAAAATAAAATTATATTTGTTTAAAGTTATCTCATTGTTATTCAATTTTTAGCTTTTAGTATTCTTTTTATATTTATTTATCAGATACACTTGGAATTTCTTTGTTCCTTGTGTAAATTTTAACAGAAAAAGATATATATCTGTAATCTTATTTTTTGATATCTGGAAAATGCCAAGCTTATAATCATTTATCTGTTATATCACTGTTTCAGTTACCAATTTCGGTTATTTACCCCTTCCTCTACTTGATTATATTAAACTTTTTCTGAAATGTTTTATTTATTTATTTATTTATTTTTTAACAGCAAGAAGTCTTTATTTAAGGCAGAGTACACACTCAGAGAAAGGGGAGGGCAGGCAGCCTTAGAGAGAAGGCATGCTTAAAGGCTTAGGATGCTGTTTTTTAAGGCTTTCAAGAATGGCACAAAGGGCCAGCAGTGTATGCAGGCTTGACTTGTGGTCTCATGTCTGTCTCCAGTAAGAGGCGTTATGTCATTGTGTCATCATCCATAGTCCTAGATATTCTGTAAGATTAACTTAACACAAAGAATTTCTTTATCTTGTTCTTCTTCAAGGTAGTGGTTTCCCTTAAGGAGTAGAAACATACCACTTAGGACTGCTTGCCATGCTTTAAGATAGGATAGGTTATTGGGTGATTACCATAAATTATGTTACGAATCTTACCTCCTAACTCCGTTTTTTTTTTTTTTTCTCAATGTACAATCATTAATCCATCTCAAGCCTAATTCTTGTCAGTCTCCAATCTTCTGAAGCATAACGAACAAGTTTTTACATGGTGAACGAATTCTTACATAGTGAATAAATTCTTACATGGTGAACAGTACAAGGGCATTCATCACAGAAACTTTCGGTTTTGATCATGCATTATGACCTATAAACAATCAGGTCAAATATGAATATTCGTTTGATTTTTATACTTGATTTATATATGGATCCCACATTTCTCCCTTTATTATTATTATTATTTTAGTTTTAATAAAATGCTGAAGTGGTAGGTAGATGCAAGATAAAGGTAGAAAACATAGTTTAGTGCTGTAAGAGGGCAAATGTAGATGATCAGATGATCAGGTGTGTGCCTATGGACTAAGTATTAATCCAAGCTAGACAAGGGCAACAAAACATCCACGGATGCAGAAGATTTCTCTCAAAACAGGGGGGGTGAGGTTCTGAACCTCACCTCTGTTGATCCCCAATTTCTCACCTGATGGCCCCCCTGCGACTGTGCCTGTCTTAGGTTGTTCCTCCCTTGAGGAATCTTACCCGTCTCTGGCTAACCAGTCATCTTCCGGGGCCATACAGGGAAATGTAAAGTTGATAAGTGAGAGAGAAGCCATATTGTTTGCAAAGGTTATCTTTTTACTTCTTTGCAGATTTATGCCCTGTGGCTTCTATGCCCAGCACTTGTCTCGAGGTATCTTTACCACCTGGAGGAATTATGATACTCGGTAAATTCGATATGAGGCACGAATTCTATTTAAGGGTTGTAATTAGGAAGGAAGAAGAAAAGCTATAGATGTAGCATATGAAGGAAACTTGGGAGGATTGATTATTTCTTTGACATATCTTCTTGTATAGTACCTTAAGTATGTATAGGTTTTAAACTACTAACTAATTTGCACACACATATTAACATAATAGGAATACGGTGACATAAACAAAGCAAATCTATAATTACCAGCCATCTCCAGTGAAGCCAAGAAAACCATTTAGGCACCCTAGGCATTTGTGAAAATTTATCTATGATATGATGGATATTTTCCAACTGTACTTGAACCATCAGACAAATTAAAGCAGCCCATTTCTGGGATCTGTTCACATCCCATATGTTCTTTTAACCATAGATAGTCTATAGTCATGAGATTTTGGGGTGCTACAACTTGCACCCCTCCCAACTCCTGGTTGAGTTCCAACAGTACAGATCCGGTCAAATTCGTTGTCTCACTGTATGCACATGCCAGCCTAGACATCTCCCTCCTCATTGCTATGGCAAGTCCAGGAAACGGTGGGGTGGATGCAGCCACAACCGCAGCATCGCCCGGATCCCTGTGGAGGCTTTTTGATGATCATCCCCTGGCACAAGTCCTCCAGAGAGTGCTGATGCCGGAAGCTCCTCCTCATATCATATCTTAGTTCTGAAATGTTTTATTTTAACTGAACTCTTCTATAAAAATGTATTATCTTTCACATCTGTGTGAGTAGGTAATAACCAGAAGTAGTAAATTTAACTTCTGAAAGGTATAGATTTCTTTCCAGTCGTTACGCATCTTACTCCCTGCAAATGAAATTCAATGGAAAATGATTGTAGTGTCTGGAAACTATGATGGCTCCACTATGATTTTTGTCTGTGTGTTTTATTAGTTTGGTTGGAGAAGAGAAGGTTAGGAGAGATAACAGAATTCCCATTTCCCAATAAATAGCTTTTTCACTATGGTATACGAATTACAGAATTTAAAACAGCTGTGTTTTAAAATTAGTTTTAGTTAGTTTTGGGGAAAATGGTTTGCTTTAAAAATTCCAGTTAACAAAGTTGAAAACTGATTAATTAGAAGTAATAGACTAACTTAAATCGGTGCTTAAAGTTGCTTTATGCTGTTATACTATGGTGTTAAAGAAAACCTTGAACTCATAGTTATATTTTTAAAAGAACAATTATGATTTTCTATTATAGGAATCACACGCAGCCCAACTACAGATCCTAATGGAATTCCTCAAGGTTGCAAGAAGAAATAAAAGAGAGGTATATTATTTTGTGTGTTTTACATATTTCATTTACTGTTATTGACTATTCCCACTTTTTCCTCATTTTTGTGAAAGCATTTCAGGCTAAAAAGTTCTCTTTAAATATTTTTAAAGCATGTGAATTTTCAGGAGTTTTTCTTAAGCTTTGATATTTTAACTTTTACCTTTACAACTTTGTCACTTTAAAAATCCCTTTATGCAGATGTGTCGAAATTCTATAGGATTGAATATAGTGACTTATCTCAAAGCTATAAAGAGTAGAAAATAAAACTATCAAACAGCTGCCTACTCTTTACCATGAAAAGAAAACTTAGGAAAATGGAGATATAAAGCCTTAAGTAGAGAGGTTTATGATTTTTATGGTAAAAATGCATGCCAGGGGTAAAACAAGTAAAATCAGAGCTACCTATTTAGAACTTGGAAAGTACAAGTTATATAGCTAAAAGATAATTTTTATTAACAGTTTTATAATCAGTATGTTCAAATTTAATGTTTATAAAATTCTTGTCATTTCAGTTGAACAAAATATGAGAAAATCAGAGGCGAAATCCTGTACTATAGGCAGCATGCTAAAATATTAACATTGAAACCTGTTTTATATTTAAATTCCTACCTGTCTTCAAATCTTATATTTTTACCTTGAGCTGTCTAATTTGGATATTTCTTACTCATTAAAAAATAATATATATAACTCTATTATGTGCTAGGTTCTAGGCTGTCTTCATTTTTCTTGAAAATAAAAAAGATGAGGGATGTTTTTATTTTGATGAAGTACTTTCAAGTGCACATTGACCGAACCTTACATTATTTGAGTTTGATATTTCCCCCCTTTTTTTATTATTCATGATGTCTATTTTTAGCTTTTTCTTACATTGTTCAGGTTGGGTTTTTCTGTATTATGCTGTTGATAGCTAAACATTCTTTATATGATCTTTGACCATATTTTTATCTTTAACTTTTGCTGAGTTAATAGTTGTGACTTTAATATGTCTATTAACAAAAACATTATCTTCATTTAAATTTAAAACTTACTTGTTCCTCTTGGTGTATTGTTGTTGTTGGGTACTTGTTAAACTTCAGTGTTCATGAGAGTTACCCAAGGATCTTGTTGGAATCCAAGTCCTGATTAAGGTGTTCATGTTGCTGCCTAGTAAACTGCATTTTTGGCAAGTGCTAGGTGATGATGCTTTTGGTTCTTGGACCACATTTTGAGCAGCAAAGCTGAAAACTCTATAATAATGTGGAAATAAAATTATTAATTCATTATGTGCATTGGACTTTTTTGCCATAGAAATTCTTTTGGAAAAGTGATAATTTTCATATTCTAACATACCCCCACCATTAAAACAGAATGTGAGATTGTTTTACATAGTTTTACATGTTTCTTTCTGCCTTAGACTTTGAATACATTAAGGGTAAAATTAAATAGATAGGAAATTTACCTGATTATGAAATGAGTAAATGAATCAATTAATAGTCTAAACATGAGGCTATCTGGGGGTTAAATGAATGGCTGGTCATTATCTGTGTCCTGAATTATTTAAGGTTTTCATTAGCTCCTGAGGTATTTCACTGCTTCTCTATGGGTCTATTAATTCTTATAACAAATTGTTAGATTTTAAACTGTCTCAGGTGAAAGTTCTGAGAAGGTTCTGAGATTTTTTACCCTACGAGCAAGCTGAAAATTTAGCCTGCCACAGTTTAATAGATGCTGGCAAAAGACATGAGATTTTTGGGTTGGAGATAAAGAACTTTATTACTCATAGCACATCTGGAAGTATCAGTTTCATGTTTGTATGAATATCACTGACCCCCCAAATCCCACAGGGGCTATGTAGAAATGATCCCAAGTGGGTGCTGTATGTACAATGGATTTATGTTATAACCAAGGAACCCTGAGTTTAGGAAACCCTTGTCTTCTAAAGGGGTCTGCTGGCAAACCTGTCTAGTATTGCCCTGCAGAGGTACACAATTTTTATATATTGATCAGAAAACAAATCTGCCTTCTGTGTTAGAAAAAGTCACTATTTCTGTCTTGCCAGGGTGTTAGCTACTAGGCAAGCATCCTTGAAAAGATAATTTGGAACAAAAGCTGTCACAAGATGAGCAGAACAGGAGAGATCAACAGAGAATTGTTTCCCACTAGAGAGTTGTCTTCCTCCTGAAAGTAATTGTCTTTTCATTGATGTGGTGGCTTGTGGCCTCCAGTAACACTTTCTGTGATAGTGCCTTTGATAGCATAGCTCTTAGTATCAGGTTTCTATATTTTTCTTATAAAACATCTAGGTTAATTGTGCTGTAGAATTTTTCAGCTTGACTTTAGTTTGAATCTAATATCATCCTTGTGAATGATCTTTTTTCACTTGGACCATATTTTCTTACTATGGTAGGCAGTTTAACCAAGAAACATACTAATTCCAAGTAGTTCTGGATATTGGTTGCCTTTTTTTAACTGATTATACTGTCTTTAATACATTTTTTTATCCATGATTGAGTGATTTTGAGTATCAAGTTAAATATGGACTAACTAGGAAGCAAGCTGCTACTTTTGAATTTACTTTCTTAAGATTAACATTCAGACTTTGAAAACTAACTTTGTGATTTCATACTTCTAATTGGGGGTATGAGGAGTCTTAGTTTAGACATTGATGTATACCAATCTAAGAAGTTAAATCGGTCTTTCAGTTTTAACATACTTTTCATTCCAATATCACATCTTGCTAGTATTTTAGGGTTATTAAAGTCAATATTTAATTTTCATTTTTTATTTATTTTTCCCTACTGACTCTCTTTTGAATATTAAGAGAACAATGTGCAGGGCACATAATAGGCTTTTGTATTAGTCATCTACTTCTGTATAACAAGTTACCTTCAAATTAAATTGTTTAAAACATTTAATGTCTTGGGTGAGAAATAGTGGTGCAGTGTAACTGAGTGCCTTGGCTCAGGGTTTCTCACCAAGCTACTATCTAGGTGTTGGCCAGAGCAGCAGTTATCTCAAGGTTTGACTGGGATTAGGAACCTTCACAAGTGTACTCACTGGTTGTTGGAAAGAGATACCAATTTATTGCCACATGAACTTCTTCATAGGATAGCTTACTACATGGCTTCTGTCAGAGGGAACAAATGAGAAAGGAAGAGAGGGTTTTGAAGATAGCAGTCTCATACTTTTTGTAACTAATCTTAGAAGTTATATCCTAACTGTGTGTGTTTGTCAGAAACAAATCATTAGATTCAGTCCACAGAAAGAGAGGGTATTCACACACAAATTTTGGACATTTGTGGTTCTCTGATTTACTAGAATAGGACAGTTTTGTAAGTCTCTGTTTCTTTTTGGTTTTGTTTGAATTGTAATGAATTGAATTTTGCAGTGCTTTTATGTGAAATAAAACACAGAAAAGTCTGTAAATTTATAGTTTAAAGATTCATAGTTGAGTGATGATGTATGTGACCACTATTTTGATTAAACAGTAGATTATTAGGACCCACAAAGCTTCTTGCCCACATTTTCCAGATTATAGCCTTTTTCCTTGCCTGTTAGGTAGTCAATATTCTAATATTTATGGTAATCACCTCCCTGTTTTTCTTTATTGTTTTGATGCTTAGTATTTACAAGTCTGACTTTTTTTGAACTTGAATAAATGCACTTCTGCAGTATGTAATGTTTTGTTTTTGTCTTTTTGGCTTAGTGTTAATATTCACGATATTGTATAAGGCTATAGTTGGTTAATTTTTGTCACTGTGTAGTATTCTATTACATAAATATACCGCATTTTGTTGTTGATGAATTTTTGAGTTGTTTTCAGCTTTGGGCTATTCATAAAAAAATGCTACTATCTTATGATGTATTCAGGTGTATATATGCATATATATCTGTATAGCATGTATGGTAGAGGTGAAAGTGATGAATCATAGTATATATATATATATGTATATATCTTCACATTTAATAGATAGTGCTAAACTTTTTCTGAGCACTTGTATTAGTTACTCTTCCTACAGGCACTGTATGAGTGTTTTCACTTGTGCTGTATTCTTGTCAGTATTTGGATTAATAGAGTTCTTTAGCTAATCTTGGGGGTATTTATTGCTATCTCTTTGTGGTTTTAATTTGCATTTCCTTGATGACTAATGAAGTTGAGCACCTGCTATCTATATATTTATTGACCGTTTGAATTTTTTGTGTATGTGTGAAGTACTTGTTTAAGGCTTTTTGCATCTTTTCTATATATGGTTAATTTTTTAATATGGTTTGTTGTTTATGTATTCTAGACAGAAATTCTTTGTCCTATCTATCTGTCTTTAACAATTATTTTTCCCCTCTAATTGAGCTGTTTTTTTCATTGTTTTAATGATGTCATTTGATGAGCAAAAGTTTCTGTCTTTAACACAGTCAAATTTACTAGTCTTTCCTGTTAAAATTAGTGGCTTTTGCCCTGAGGTCAGGAAGGCATTTTGCTATATTACCTACTTGAAGCTTTATTCTTTCATTTTTTTTTTTTGAGAGGGCATCTCTCATATTTATTGATCAAATGGTTGTTAACAACAATAAAATTCTGTATAGGGGACTCAATGCACAATCATTAATCAACCCCAAGCCTAATTCTCAACAGTCTCCAATCTTCTGAAGCATAATGAACAAGTTCTTACATAGTGAGTAAGTTCTTACATGGTGAACAGTGCAAGGGCAGTCATATCACAGAAACTTTCAGTTTTGATCACGCATCATGAACTATAAACAATCAAGTCAGATAAGATTATTCGTTTGATTTTTATACTTGATTTATATGTGAATCCCACATTTTTCCCTTATTATTATTATTATTATTTTTAAATAAAATGCTGAAGTGGTAGGTAGATGCAAGATAAAGGTAGAAAACATAATTTAGTGCTGTAAGAGGGCAAATGTAGATGATCAGGTGTGTGCCTATAGACTAAGTATTAATCCAAGCTAGACAAGGGCAACAAAACATCCACGGATGCAGAAGATTTCTCTCA